TATATATATATATATATATATATATATATATATATATATATATATATATATATATATATATATATATATACATATATACATATATACATATATACATATATACATACATCCGAAAATCCGGACTGCCCGGGGATTGGGTCGGTCCGGATTTTCTGAATAAAGAAGAGATGAACAAGTAAATTTTGATAGTCTATTCATTAGCAAATACTGAGACGAGGCTGTGAATTCTGGAATTTTATTCTTTGCATTTTTTATATCGTAAATTGTAGACTTTCCGATGTCGTATGTTTCCATTAGATCAGTATTGCTCACACCACGTTCTAGTTTCTTAATTATTTAAAGTTTGTCACTCAATTTCAACGTGTTCATCAACACTATCTTACCTCAGCACCTCCACCAACACTATCTTACCTCAGCACCTTGTCATGAGCGTGATAATGGCTAACCTGAAAACCTTAAGGATTCATATTACGCTCAAACGTCCACAAAACCTTCTGAGTCCCCCAGTGGAAACGTCCTCCGTTTTCTCTGTTCCTTGATGACGTCATCGATAGGCCGTCTTTGTTTAGACGCTGTATGTTGGGACCTGTTGCCATCCAACCCTTTGTAATCAATTTAATTTTGCTTTTGATAGCTGAGTCAGAGCATTGTTAGTGAAGATAATAGTAGGGAATGAAAATGAGTTCATAGTCTCAGTTTCAACGTCAGTGTGTACAGTAAATTAATTCATCGGAATAGAAGTAGGTGGACTCCCTGGTCTGTTTTGAGTGAGGGCCCCGCGGGCATTTCTACCGTTAGTGAGTGCCCGTCCCTTCATCCATACAGGTATGCCATTCCACTCTGTGTTGTAATTCGCCCTTCTTTAAGTGATTTGACCCAATTAATAGTTGATTGTGCAAGTGTTACAGTAACGTAATTGATATGCTCTGAGTGAAGTCATATTTACGTCTTTAACGTCCCCTGAAACGTGATGTTGTTGTCACCGTTAGTGAGTGCCCGTCCCTTCATCCATACAGGTCCCTAACGCAGCCTAGGCCGTGTCTGTAGCGTGGATGTTGTATCCACTATGTCTGGGGAGATGTCCGAGGTCCAGTAGGATCAGTTACCTTCGTGAGACCCGGCCGTCAGACACTTCAGACTACCTATAGCCCCCATAGCTGGCTCGTCTGGCCCTAACGCTCGGCCTGCGAGGTGACCCCGGATCACCAAGCCACACACCACTACCAGCCCCCATCATTGGTGGATGAGTGTCTAACTCAGTAGGGCTATTTGTGTGGTGGAATTAATCCACTGGGATCTTCAGAGTTCGTCGGAAAGTACTCCATGGTGGCTGGACCCCATGGCTGTTGCTTGAGTATCACTCCTGACGACTGAGTGTTGTAGTGGCAGTTGCCCTGGTCTTTATGGTGCTAAGTGACTATAAGAGTTATGTGTTATTGAGTATGTCCACCCAGTAGGGTTGTGAGTGTTATTGAGTATGTCCACCCAGTAGTGGTGTGAGTATGTTGAGCCTGAGGGCCTAGTACTAGATTTCGTCTGTTGGTACATATAAATTCTTTATCCTAATTTCATATTAATGTTTAAATAAATTTTGTATTTGTATATTGTCTATTATTTACCTACAGTATTTACCGTTATGTCTTCCCTATTACTTGTTACTATCATTACATCTACCCACGAGCCTCCTCTCGTCACGCTACCAATGGTAATAAGTATGAGAGTACAAGGAATTGTTACTGGCACACAGAGGCCCTCATAAATGGTGGAAGCCCAGGCCCTCATAACCTTCACCAACACTATCTTACCTCAGCACCTCCACCAACACTATCTTACCTCAGCACCTCCACCAACACTATCTTATCTCAGCACCTTCACCAACACTATCTTACCTCAGCACCTCCACCAACACTATCTTACCTCAGCACCTTCATCAACACTATCTTATTTCAGCACCTTCACCAACACTATCTTACCTCAGCACCTTCATCAACACTATCTTATTTCAGCACCTTCACCAACACTATCTTACCTCAGCACCTTCATCAACACTATCTTACCTCAGCACCTCCACCAACACTATCTTACCTCAGCACCTTCACCAACACTATCTTACCTCCAGCACCTTCATCAACACTATCTTACCTCAGCACCTTCATCAACACTATCTTACCTCAGCACCTTCATCAACACTATCTTACCTCAGCACCTTCATCAACACTATCTTACCTCAGCACCTTCATCAACACTATCTTACCTCAGCACCTTCATCAACACTATCTTACCTCAGCACCTTCATCAACACTATCTTACCTCAGCACCTCCATCAACACTATCTTACCTCAGCACCTTCATCAACACTATCTTACCTCAGCACCTCATCAACACTATCTTACCTCAGCACCTTCATCAACACTATCTTACCTCAGCACCTCCACCTATCTTACCTCAGCACCTATCACCTCCACCAACACTATCTTACCTCAGCACCTTCATCACCACTACACTATCTTACCTCAGCACCTTCACCAGCAACACTATCTTACCTCAGCACCTCCACCAACACTATCTTACCTCAGCGCGGCTTCATCAACACTATCTTACCTCCAGCACCTTCATCAACACTATCTTACCTCAGCGCAGCTTCCCCAACACTATCTTACCTCAGCACCTTCATCAGCACTATCTTACCTCAGACCTTCATGCTTGCTATGCCTCAGCACCTCCACCAACACTATTTTCTCCTTTTATTCACCAACACTATCTTACCTCAGCACCTTCACCAACACTATCTTACCTCAGCACCTTCATCAACACCTTCTTACCTCAGCACCTTCATCAACACCATCTTACTTGTAGCAACTTCTTCAACACTATCTTACCTCAGCACCTTCATCAACACCATCTTACCTCAGCACCTTCATCAACACCATCTTACCTCAGCAACTTCTTCAACACTATCTTACCTCAGCAACTTCTTCAACACTATCTTACCTCAGCACCTTCATCAACACCATCTTACCTCAGCACCTTCATCAACACCTTCTTACCTCAGCACCTTCATCAACACCATCTTACCTCAGCACCTTCTTTACCTCAGCACCTTCTTCAACACTATCTTACCTCAGCAACTTCTTCAACACTATCTTACCTCAGCACCTTCATCAACACCATCTTACCTCAGCAACTTCTTCAACACTATCTTACCTCAGCACCTTCATCAACACCATCTTACCTCAGCACCTTCTTCAACACTATCTTACCTCAGCACCTTCATCAACACCATCTTACCTCAGCAACTTCTTCAACACTATCTTACCTCAGCACCGTGCCTCAGGAAGAGATTGACAACCTCTATGTCAGGCGTTTCATTGGAGGAGAGGTACTCCCCTAGGGCTGGCTTGATGGGAGCATTGTCCTCCCCGACAATAACCAGATTGGGGTTTGCGCCTCTCTCCAGCAGCAGTTTTAAGATCTCAAAGCGGTTAGGTATGCCCTCACTACAGGCCATGTGAAGGGGGGAGCCGATGATGGGGGAACTGGCATCTAGGTCAGGATCTGTGTAGGAGATGTGGATGTTTATTAGCAAATCTGATGGAGAAATAAGGAACACTGTACATTAATATCAACTTACCTCAGAAAGAAACTCTTGTCCATGGTAATGTTGACTGTGGCGTGTTACAAAAGATTTCACCTGATATAAATACATATGAACAGGTCAAAGATTTGCTCTTAAGGTGTTGATATTATGACCAATCCAATTCGGAAAGCAAAACAAGTAAGAAAAGACCTCATGAATTCTTCAGGTAAAATATGAATTCTTTATTACCTATACAGAGTGAATTATATTGTATAAGTTGCAATAATAAACATTAATTAGAGTATATAATTTTTATTTTCCATTAATTTTGCTGTTTGGGGGAAAAGAGGGTAAAAAGGGAATGCATCTCATTATTATTGGTTTATTTCATTGGTAATTAATGATTCATGATACGACAATTCGCCTTACACCACAATTTTGTTTTGGAGGATATTTTACCATCGTAATTCAAGGCTTTACTGTATAGAGTTTCTACTGTATTGGAAATTCCTTGTTCAGATGGTGTGAGTCAAGAATAAGAGTCGAAACAAATGATGGGGACTATTAGATGAAGCTTGTAGTGTGTATCCTGATCTAGTTATTTACTCTATATCCCCATGGGAGCCGTTGTTGTCCCTTACACACGATGGACACCAATTGAAACTAAAAATACATCTGCCTACAAGAGAGGAGCATTTACTTTGCATAGCTGTAATCAATATATCAATTTATCCAAGATGTTATGAGCCTTCTGAACCCTACAAGTGCAGCCCTATGCTTCCTGACCACTTCAAAACACTTATACAGTACTTTTCACTTTTATTGATCAAAGAGTAGATTGCACACTCTAACATGCAAATATTCCCCCAACCCCCCCTCATGACTCACTGTGTTCGAGGATGAGCCGCACTATCTCGATGTCCCCCTTGAGGATGGCCAGGTCGAGTGGTGTTGGCTTGTTGTACTCGGGCTCAAAGTTGACCCTCGCCCCCTGCTTCAGGAGGAGGTTGACGATAGCCACGGAGCCAGAGAGGACAGCGTAGTGGAGCACCGACCTGTTGAGGGGGTTCATAAGGAGTGGGTGGGAAGAGTCAGAATAGAGACAAGCCCTCCTGGAGGTAAAAAGAGGGGGGAAAAATGGCTGAAGAATATCTTTTCATTATCCTCACTTATTTAACAGAGAAAAAAAAATAAAAAAATAAAATTACTGTGCGTACTTATTAAAGCCTGGGGTCATGACACTACTCGTTCAGATGTTAATTTAATCACAGAAACTACAGTATTCACTTATCATTCAACTCCTATATTAATGCACAATGCTAGCCAATCATGCTCTACAATCTATGAAAAATAATACTAAAAGTTCTATACAAAATAAAGAAATAAATCCTAGAGCAAAGAACAGAAGTAAATACTAATAAAAATTCAGAGAAACTAAAAGAGCAGGAACTACAGTATATGCTAAACAAAGAGAAGGCCAAGCAATGTGAATTAGGGAAGAAATTGGTGATAAAAACAGTTGTAGTTAGGAGTCATTATCAAAGGTTCTGAGTTGGTCCAATACAGCTTATTGAACCTATGGAAAGTACATGATGAGGCAAATTACTCCATCAGGGCAACTTCACCAACAAGAATCCTTACAACACAAACCTAAAACAAAGAAAGGAAGCCCAACGTGCAGGTTTTCATACAAATTCAAGACAAAGAGGAAAGTTAACAAGGTAGCATAAAAATAAGATGGTGAACCCCTAACTGCATCATCAAGACAAAGATGGGCAGGAACTTTTACATACAGTGCCAAGACAAAGAGGAAGAGGTCTTACATAAACCTTCAGGATAGAGGGAGAGAGAGAGATCTGTCTCACCTGTAGTCATGTCGGGCCTCCGTGCGGGCGTTAACGTCAGCACCAAAGGAGATGAGGAGAAGAACAGCTTCCAAGCCCTGTAGAAGTAAGAGAGCAGCCCATGACAACTCGGTGCAAGAGGTCAGGATAGGAGACCAAAGCAAGAGACTTGTAAGCAGGAGACTAGGAGGCAGGAGACTTGAGGCAGAAGACTTGGGATAGAGAATTTAGGGGTAGGGGATTTAGGGGCAGGAGTCTTAGGGACAGGAGACTAGGGGGCAGGGAACTTAGACCAAGAGACTAGGGGGTAGGGGACTTGGGGTATGGAGTTTAGGGGTAGGGACTTTAGGAGCAATGGACTTAGGGGCAAGGGACTTATGGGCAAGGGACTTATGGGTAGGAGACTAGGGGGCAGGGGACTTGGAGCAGGAAACTTGGGGGCAGGGGACTAGGGGGCAGGGGACAAGGGATATAAGACCTGGATAGGATGCAGAAAGGTGGACTAGGTGGCTTGTGAAGTGACCGAGGCAGATAACTGATAGAAGGCTTGGCCCAGGCAGACAGACGGCCAAGGTAGGAAGTTTTAGCAGATATACAGCTGGGGTAGGGAGCTTGGGCAGATAAACAGGTGAGGTAGAAAGCTTGGGCAAAAAGGCAGCTGGGGTAGAAAGCTTGGGCAGATAGACAGGTGGGGTAGAAAGCTTGGGCAAAGAGGCAGCTGGGGTAGGAAGATTAGGTAGAAGGTTGGACGAGTTTGGAGCCAAATGACTAATGGGTTTAGTGGATTAGAGAGTTTTAGTACTAAGTAACAAACAAAATAATTAAGTGGCATGAGTCATTTATAGATAAGACTTCAAAGCTGATGACCCAATCCCAATGGAGGCAGTTATAAAACAAATTTGTGATCATACAGGAGTAGTGAATATCAGTGTGGGGGTTTAATGGGTCCTCTACTGAAGTGTTAAAGGCCTGTAAGGATTATAAATGATGATACAGACAGCCATTTAAAATCATTATTGAGGTACAATATTAAAATGGTTAATCAGTGTATGGATTGTAAAGGTCAAATACAGTGAGTTTAAAATTAGATAAAGGCATTCAGGATCATTACCAAAGTACTAAAACAAAGGAAGTGAATCACTTAAAGGATAGATGAGATTGTTATGTGAAGTTCAAGGGAAACCCTTCTCTAAACATGAAGCAGAATTGAATAACAGATGTATAATGTTATGAATAAGTAAAAAATACTCAAGTTTCATAATAAGCTGTAGTACAGTAACAAAGTACAGTAGCTTGACAGACTGATGGCTATTTCAAAAGTTATACAGTATAATATTCACAGATCATAATGATGGATATTAATATCAAATGCTTACATTTACATAAAAAATATGGCATAAGAAAATTTAACTTTACTTAAATTTATCAGTTAAAAGACACAATTAGAAGCAGTAAAATATCTATATAATGTATTAAAACTAGAGACAAACTCATAACCCAACATTCATGCAGAGAAACTTTCATTCTGACAATCATGATGCTACTACCCAATGAACCATATTTATTCTGAATAAAACCATGATAATGTTGGCTGAGGAGCCATGAGGCCATTAGCTTACTGTGAGATTTCATTGGCTAATGGGTCAATGTTTTTCACTGGGATTTTTGTAATCTTATAGCAAACCATGGGCCCCAAGACACAGTAATTGGTCAAGCACCCTTGATGACAATGACTATGATGTAATGGGCCAAGAAACTTTAGAGCCATTGTTTGAGGCTCGGAACATCAAAGGCCAAAAAACCGTGATTACATTAGCTAGAAGCAATGATGCCTTTCTCGGGAAACTATTTCAGGTTATAGCCAAATCGATTTAGCTGGATATTTTTGCCATTATATCAAGGTTTTTTCTTTGCTGAACTGCACATCTGAACTCTTAATTGGGTGGCTGGGAGGACTTAGTACAGATTGGGTTACAGAAAAATAGCCAGTTAAGACAAAGTGACTACAGGTATACCTATGGTTTAACACAGATGATACAGCCCATCTTGTTAACTAATCCTCTTGAGTAAGCTGTGTCAGTTGTCAGCTTGTACACTCAACTTCACTCAACTGGAGCAACAGCTGTAACAGTAACACTGTTACTCGACTCCTGGTTGTTGTGGGGCATGAAAGAGTAAGCTATGGTGTGAGATGATGCCAACACAATCCATTATTGCATTATGTAGGGAAGGGAAGACAACACACAAGAGGGTGCAAGCATAAAAACAGTTCTCCCTCACACTTGATCATATATAGATGTGACCACTTCTAGAGGTCCTTTTTCATTTGTATGTAAAAAAGTTCACAATGAGTGAAGCTGCTTGCCGGCATTGAACATTAATAATTTTTTTAAGTAAATCATATTTATAATTAAGCAATAAAAGGACAGACTACATGCACAAGAACATAATTTAAAATCACATCTAAAAGTTTTGCTCTTATGTTGATAGCCAATGCCGGCAGAGGGGGACTACACTAAGAAACCGCCCGACACAAGTCACCAGGACCCAGCTCTCACTCACACCTTCACCTGTGTGTGGCCTCGATCACACTGAGGTTTATCCCATGATTCCATTGATTCATTTGCTTATTTCAAATTAAATATATGAACAGCGTTATATACATTTCAAGGTAAAAACTGTAATGTACATAAACAAAATGAAATTACCCTCCCTCTCCAAGTGGGAGATGAGCTAAGAAGCTTATAAAATAACTTGCTTTAATTTTAAAAGTAAATATTATTGGATTGTTTAAGAAACAATAAAAGGGGCGGCATTATCAGAGTGTAATAAAATATAACTTAAGTGCTGGGTGAGTGAGGTCCTCCTTGTTGTGTCAGTCGTAAGGTAGTCTAGGAGGCTTAATATACAAGACCTGGTTCCTTGCCCTTCACACACAGGTAACAACTTTTGCGCACATCACACCACACTGCTATTTCCACTGTACATTAATGCCAAGGCTCATCAGATGGTGACCAGCCTTGTGGAATATTTTGAGAGATTTATTTGAGAATTCTTCTTATGTAAAAGAAAAAATGTCTGCCAATGACTAGCCGTACAGTATTACCATTAGGTTACAGAAGATATATTAAAATTTCAAGCCCAAAAATCTAAACATTTTGCAGTTAGGAAAGTTTAGGCTAAGTTGACAGACATCAGAACTTGAGACTGAATCTACTAAATTAGCTAATTTTATTTTTTACTCTAAGCCAAGTTCCATTGGGCAAATATTTCCACAGTACAGTTCAGTGTGTCATGAGGTGCAACCATGTAATTTTGGAAGACGAACAGACGAGACAGAGGAAGGAGCACCGAGTCAGAAAAGGGAAGAGATGGAGGGTCGTGATTCTGGCAATACTTTCTAAAAGATCAACACTGTAACCTGAGTATAGAGGCTGTAAGGCTTACTGGGTTCTGAAATGACATCTCAACTGATCAGCTTGTTAAGTCACTTGGGGTTATTACCACCTATACAGGAAAGAAGTAATTCACAGGAAACATTAAATACTGCTGCAAGAACAAACTCTACTTTGGTGTCCAGCTGAGGCCCACAGACTTCTTTGCCCAAGTTACAACACACAGGTGTCTTTACACCTAAGTATCTCATGAAAATGTGAATCCTTGTTTATGTAAATAAGAAGCAGAGAGTATGCCCTAGTGCAAAGTACTTCCAAAGCACAGAGAAGAGTGAGTTCATCAGACAGTACTCTGGTGTCATCATCACCTGCCAGAGTAACACACACACTCCTAGTCATAAGCAAAATGGCAAAAATAGTAATTCAGTAATTGTTCGTGTAAACAAAGATGTGAAAATCAGTAATTATCGTATCGTATCATATATATATATATATATATATATATATATATATATATATATATATATATATATATATATATACTGTATAAATGAAAAGAACAAGTAGTTTGAGTGAGTGCGTTGATGACCCTCTCATATTAGCAAGAACGGTTTAGATGGATTAATCAGTGTTAATCTTAATAAGAAGGCAACAACAGTATATAGAAGTATCAATGTGCAACGATTACCATTATGAGGACATGCTGATTAAAACTAAGTGACCAACATTCATTAATAGAAAAGAATAAATAGCAATAAATTAAATTCAAAAACACGATAAATAATTTGACATCTTAATCACAAAAGAAATCTGGTTAAATAACTATATTCTGAGATGTCAAGAAAACGAATCACATAATCCAGCTGAACCTACAGGAGTGTGTATATGTGTGGTAGAAGGAACAAAATGATGAAAACAGAATGCAAAGAACCAGGTCCTCCCCCAGCAGCAGTCACTCACCATGAGGGTCTGGGCGAAGTGCTGTAGGACCTCCACGCCAGAGATACTTTGGCGGGTCTCCATCTCATCTGATGCATCCTTCAAAAGAGAGAGGAAGTGCTCACAAGGGAGGAAGGTGGTCACTGTAGGGGGTCTACTCTACACCACCATAAAAAAAACAGCCTGGAGAGGTCATATCAGGCATAAAAAAGCAGGTTAATGTGTTCTATGTTACAACACCCTTGTAGGATGAGCGAAACCATGATTTTTGTTTTGTTTTTTAACTTAATGTTATGTCTATATACAAATCAGCAGGATAGTGATATGCAAACAAAAATGCTAACCGGCTAATCAAATTTGGTGGGCAAGCAAAACAGAAGATATAAAACGGTACAAAATGAGTTAAATTGAAGATATAAAACGGTACAAAATGGGTTGAATTGAAGTTTTTCAAAGATGATGAGTGAGAAGAGAGAAAACATGCACAGCAGACATACCTGGTGAGGTGACACAGCAGCACAGAGAAAATGGGAATAATGTAAAGACTGATATGCAGCCACAAACAATTTAATAAGGATATATGCCAATAGTACTGTATAGTGGGAACATCTTATTTAATTTTAGATTTTTTTGACGTCTTGAGATACTATTATGCTGATGTGTTAGGCAAATCCTCTTAACTTAGTTATGTTAAGTGTTCCTTGATACAGATGAGAGGCATACACCAGCTGGTGTGTGCTGGTGATGCATCAAAACACTTCCTCACCACAAGGATAATCTGGGTGAGACCAAACATGCTCATATAAAATACTACTGCAGTGATACTTTTATAATTTAATTATATTTCTACAGGTGATTCAGTCAAATCTTGAATGCCCATATCTATATGTAAATTATTCACTATTTTCTAAATGATGCAACATCAACAAGCATGATCAAAAGATAGCCAACACCAATTATACTTCCATCGCAACAATGTGTTTCAGTTATTATGTATTCAGGAAGTAATATTACCCAACACCAGCACCTGGGCAGAGTTATGATGGCACAGTGGGAGCAACATGGAGATCATTGCTCACAGTGCACTGTATGTTTATGTCCACAGATAATTATGATAACCAGACCCAAGTGGCGAAGGTTATATCAGGCCACGAAATACACAAGCATTATTCAAATCAGGATAGTTCTTGTATTCTGCAATTTATATATATTTCTTTTTAGGGAATTGTTAACTCTCCTTTATCATTCCATCTATGCCAGAACAAAAGTTAATTACACCACCTTGAACACAGGTCATGAGCTGACCCTAGGTGGCACCAGTAACACAAAAGATTCTGTGTCCCTCCCACCACCATCCCTGAGGACCCACCTGCTGCAGACGACAACACTTCATCATGGGTGTGAAGCCCTGGCGGTCACGGGCATTGGGGTTGGCACCGTAGGACAGCAAAAGGTGGAGGAGCTGTGTATTGAGGGGGTTGACCAGGTTGACCTCGGAGCCAAAAAAGTACCGGGTGTTGGGGTTGGCGCCGTGTTCCAGCAGCACCTTGGCTGCCTCAAAGTGGTCATGCTGGAAGACAATGTTTGAATTAGACTTGAATAAAAAATTTAACAGATTTAGGGATACATACATGTACAGTACTTCTCGCGTGGTAAGTGTATAACAAAACCTGGCTATGAATACTGTACACCTCATATTCACAACATATTCAGAAATCTGTAGTTAAACCTGGCATCTTGATTTGCCTAGTGCTTATTCAGTCTTTCCTCGGCTGACAACATATTTAAAGACCTAACTGCCTATTTAGGCAAGCTGTTCTATATGTCCAAAGAGAAGTTATATCATCTCAGTTAGGTTTGTGGACAACTACTAACTACAGCAGGGGTGGGCAATTATTTTTGATGGAGGGCCACTTCATGAATGGTGGCACACTTCGCGGGCCACAGGTTAACAGCGACGAGCCAGTATTGCTGCTATGTCCACCCAACTTCCAAAATTGTCCTTTCTGTAATTAATAAGAATTTTTTTTTCTGATTGCCAAATGCAATGGCGGGCCACAGAAATAATTTGGCGGGCCAAATGTGGCCCGCGGGCCGCACTTTGCCCACCTCTGAACTACAGTATCTACCAGTGCCACCCTTGCTATAGATGTTACATGGATAAAACATCAGTCCCATGAACCTGCCAGGTAAGGTGGTGTGCATCCAGCAGAGACCCACGACTCACTTTAATTGCCAGACGGAGGGGCTCGTCAAAGGCATCTGTGGGAAAGTCTTCCTCGATCTCAGGTGGGATATTGAAATTAACGTGTGCTTCGTGTTTGAGGAGGACCTCCATCATCTCTATGTACCCGTGCTCGGCCGAGAGGTGCAGCGCTGTGTAGCCGATGTCATCCCGGGCGTTGATGTCACAGCCTGGGGAGCAAAGCACTGTTAGGTGGTGGAGGGCACTGTTAGGGGAAAGAGAACACTGGAAATGGCTGCTAAGATTCAATGTCACGAAGAGCAAAAGGATGCACCTGGGTCGTACCAATAGGACGAGGAGACTGCATTAATTGAGACCGAATGTGAAAAAGGACCAGGGTGTGTATGTTGACAATGAACTTAAGTTCTCGGGCCATTGTGAGAAGAAGGTGAATCAGACAACGAAAGTAGTAGGTCTTATAAGAAGGTTGTTTAGATATCTGAATGGTCCGTTGCTCATCACGATCTTCAAGAGTGAGGTGCTTCCCCATCTGGTTTCTGAGGTATGCTAGAGATTGTCAATTGATTGAAAATGTCCAAAGGAGTGCCACCAAACTGATGCCTGCTCTACGGAACCTGTTACCCAGAGGGATTGGAGCACCTGCAACTACCTAGCTTATACTACAGACAGGCTTGGGGTGACCTCACCAATGTGTATAAACATCTCGGGGCGGCACAACTCGGTCAAATGTACGTACATGGAGATTGGCGGACGTCCGCCCCACAAGGGGTCACAGCTTAAGGTTGAAGAAGCTATAGGTCCACAAAACTGTGAGGGCAAATTTTTTCTGAGTGAGAATTGTGAACTCTTGGAACAATCTGCCAGAGAGCGCTGTGATGGCACCAAGTGTGAGTTCATTCAAGGCCAGACTTGACCAACACTGAAGCAGGTTCCGATAAATTCAGAAGCCAGTGCATGCCCAGTATCTGCCAACAGTGCATATCATAGACGTGACCAACCGCCCAAGTTGCTAACGAGTCAATCAGTGGCGAAGAGGATAAAAGTAAAAAAGTAAAGTCAAAGTTAAAGTGATAGAGGAGGATGTGAATTATGAAAGTTACAAGGAAGTATTTTAACTGACAACACCATCTTTTAAGAAATAAAATTTCAAATTAAAATTTCCTCAAATTTTTTAATTACTCCTGTATTGCCATAAGAAATAGTCTCTTAAAACAGTCTTTAATCCTAAAAAAAAAAAAATAGGAATAGTGATATTAATAAAAAGATTACACAGTCAAAACAATATAAAATAGACAACATACAGTAGTATATAGGCTACAAATACACTATACAAAAAATAACATTTAAGTAAAAGAAATTAAAACAAAATACTGTACAATAAATACAAATACACAAATTTAAATAAAATACAGTAAAGAAAAAATCATTCCTGCTACAAGTATAATCAAATTAAGAGAAATAAAATATAAATTAAACCATAAAAGTAAAATAGGAGAGATATCAAATTAAAAAAATAAATTTGGCAAGACACTTATGAAAACAAAATACCCTGTACAAACAAAATATACAAAAATTTTGTAACAGTAGTTATAGTATTACCAGAGCCACTTATAGGCCTACTGTACTGACCTTCAGCAATAAGGAACTCTGCTGCCTCCGGGTAACGCTGCCACACTGCATAATGTAGGGGGGTCAGGCCCTGGGTTATTGTGTCATTCACCTGCCAGAGATAATGGACAAGTGGGGATGGTTAATAAAGACCTAAAAGTCAGGTCAGGGGTCAATATTGGCTGTGTCGGTTAGATCATTTATGTATATTATGCATGCTGTATGTAAATTATGTATGTTGTATGTATATCATGTAAGTACTCCATTTATATACATTACTTATTAGCCAGCAGCGTGTGGCAATGCTTTTATCATGTCACCACACGCTTAGATAATGTGCCTGGCGACATCTGGAAGCTGCTAATGTATCACTTGCCACATGTCGCCTGAGAGGTCAGAGAGAGGTCCGTTGACCTATAGAAAGTGTAGGGAACCGCCATCTTGGCTCGTGCACCTCTGTACAATCAAGCAAATAGAATCTACAAAACTCTACAGGTGTTTGTGTTCGCTCCTGTAGTTAGAACTGAGTACCCAAAACATGTACAGATCAGGCTTCAATAAAAAGCATTGAAGGTGAGCTTAAGGTTAATTAATGGCTGAGAAAATCAGATCAGGAGTCTGACACTTGTAAAATTAAAAAGGTTCTATGATGCCTAAATAAAACAATTCTATTTTGCAGTCTGTAGTAACTATGCATTAGTGTAGGTACAGGCATCCCCCGCGTTACGGAAGGGTTCCGTCCCAGGAAAATTGACCGTATCGCGAAATTCCGTAACGCAAAACCTATTTTCCCATTGACTTCCATTATAAAACTGGAGATGCGTTCCTAAGGAATTTTTTCGGCCCCCAAAAAGTAATTCAAGCAGTCTTATGAATGAAAATAAACATTTATAAACACATACAATACAGTACATTAAATAATTTATGATATACCTTCTTAAAACATCCAATGTAATGCCTTTGCGGCTTCTTTTTGCACTACTGCAGTCACTTCCACTTGATGGCCTCTTTCCAGTCATTTTGAATAAGGGTAATGCACTGTACTGTACTTACTGTATGTTTGTAAAAGTTAAATCCAACTGCTGGGGCGAGAAACATGTGCGCACACTGGATGTAAACAATGGACTGACTCCTCGTGGCGATGTCACCCTTGGCGGTAGCAAACACCAAGAAATCCACACAAAACAAATTACAGTGAACCCTCACTTTACGCGGTCAATTGAACCCACGGTGGCCTGCGTAAAGTGAGAAACGCGTAAAGTGAACAACATAACATATGGGATTAATTGAAATAGAGACCGGGCCGACCCCCAAATTCCACTTTTTCAGACACAATACCTCCATTGTAGTAAAAATAACTTCTTAATTTTATGATGGTATGCACACACAATTAATTATTAAGAGAAATATCAATAATATTAGGCTTTTTAACACTTACATTAGTAGAAAAGATGGCTGGGCACACGGGGATGGGGGTTGGTTCCGAGGCAGAGGGCAGATTATTGGCCCTCACCTGTATCAATTGTATCACTATCCACCACAGAGGCTTGCAGGGCCTCTTTGTCAAACCCCTCAAAGTCCATATCCTCACTATCACTATCACTGACTTGGGCCGGCTGTGGTGGGTGGCGGGTGAAGAACTCGGTAATGTTTTGATGACTGGGCGACCTTGTGCACACCCTGCTTGTGCCGCTCTCCGTGTAAAAGGGTACACACACCGCGGAAAGTGAGCATTCCATGTTCGGCAGGGTACCGCGTAAACGTGGAAACGCGTAAAGTGGGACCGCGTAAAGCGAGGATTGACTGTATAATTTAAAAAAAATTATAATTTTATACTGTATAGCGATTTTTTTTTTAAATTGATAAAATTTACCCCAATTTCCATAAGGGCGGATTTATGGGCCGTAACGCGAAATTATTGGTAATATTTTACAAATTCCATAGGAGCAAAATTCCGTAACCCGGGCTTTCGTAACACGGGGGATGCCTGTATCTCAAAATAGATGTCTGTCACTCAGCAATACTGAGAGTTGTATGACCCATGACAGTTTTTTACTCACATTAGCGCCACATTTAAGCAAGATCTTCAACTCCTCGATGGATGCCAGACGTACGATAGCGTCAGCCAACTCTCTCTGGATGGACGGTTTACGCTTCTCTTTTCTCCCATCTTGCTTTCTGCTGCTTCCTTCCGTCTCTTCCTCTGTCCCCGAACCCTCCGTCACTCGTTCCTCCTCTTCTTCCACCTCTCCATTGCCCTGGATCACATCAGGGTGAACAATTTCCATAGGCATGCTGGGAGGGGAAGCCAAACACAAGAATAAAGATGGGACTCACTTGAAAATCCCAAACATAAAAAAGTCCTTGCATAGTATTAATCAGCTCCAGCACTTATGCCATCAATATTAGATTTAATAATAAGTGACTACGTGTAATAAACAATAAACTCTGTAGAAAGTAACAAGAGAATAGCTAGGCTCCTATGTGACTGGCCATAACCACAATGCCGACACACGCAGCTCGCCACCTACTAACACAGCCACATTGTTCATTGACTAAGAACAGCCCAGTCCCAACCATTGTAAAAATTATCAATAACTTGTAATAAACCAGTGTATTCACTCCCAGTAAATACTACTTCTTGCACTGTCACTATGTTAAAATGCACTGTAGTTGAGCTTTTCCCCATCTAGTTATTATACAGTATATCTTATTTGTATCACTCATGTTACTTGTATATTATTTGTAATTCGAAACCCATTCCCCAAATATGTAACTGTATATTTTCAGCCTTCTGGCTGCCAAGCTCTTTCAATAAACCGTTAATTATTATTATTATTATTATTATTTAAGACAAAAAACTCGGTATTATTGCGTTTTCACACCACACATTCCTGCCACTAATCTATTATCATATTCGAATAAGACGTCTAATTATAAGACAATTTTCATCTATTACATTACCGGCGCAAATGTATAATAATGGAGATACCGTATCCCAAATTTTCTCTATTTTCTTCCATTAATCTTCCGCCATTATCGCCTACTTCACCTACCACACTGCGTGTCTCCTTCATAAATCATCACACGCATGCGTTCCCATACACGTCACGCGGCCAATCAAAAGCGTTTTTTTTTGCAACCAATTAAAATTATTTTTGGCCCAATCAAAATCGATTTTTATTTTGGGTCTCTCATATTTCCAAATTCATATTCATTTCCAACCATGGAAGTCTGTGATGGGTGTCACTTAAATTATATGGAGCTGATTGCGAGTTTTGGGGAAAAAAACGAAGAAACTGTAGCATTTTTTCGATAGCATGGTGTTCTCCCGACCTCAGTAAAGTGTCATAAGTGCAAGAATGAATGTAAATATTGCAAAAACCAACATATATGGCGTTGTCCTCACTCATCCCTTATCCCAAAGACAAAGAAGAGATGACAATAAGGTAAGAAATAGGTGATTCCATCATATGGTGAGTCGGTTAGGTTAGGTTTGGTTTTTGGTTTTCTAGTGTTTTTTGGTGTATTTTTTATTCACATAGCTTTTAATTTTTTTTTTTAAAAGTCCCACGAAAAAATTTCGATAAAAAACCCAGCCAATTTCCGCCAGAAATGAAGGTCATATTCAGTCTAAACACACAAATACACTAGAAAAATATATTTTTTACTTTCTAACAGAGTGTAGTGCGCTTATGCAAATTTACCAAACTCTTCCCCAATAATAAGTCTCCTATTGCTATAGCCAATAAGAAACACCCATATGCGCTGTCGAGGCTTAAGAAGCAAAGACGGAGTAAGGAGCACTTGCTGACCCCCTCTCAGCCTGAGGGAGGGACCAGACCTCCGCAGTGTGAACAATTCATGACGACACTTGTGACTGACCAAATCTAATAATATTGAAAAATTAATATCTGTTATCCTTAATTTCCGGCGGAAATATCATAGAAGAAAAATGTCTTAGAATTGTCTAAACATTACGAAATACATATTAATCACAGAGAGAGAAACACCGGTGTATTACTATAAATTCACGGACTGACTATTATTGAATGAAATGTAGCCAAATGAAGTCAATTGATGTCATTTCAAATCATAGTCACAAAAAATTGGTAAACCTAATTTAATCTGAGTTAATAGATCGAGTGCATGTACCTAACCTAACTCAGATTAAATTAAGTTTACCAACTTTTTGTGACTTTATGACTCCAAATACTAATCGAGAAGTGATTCACAGCCTGATTTACGCTTGTATGACCATCATTTGACTTCATTGTGGGTACATTTGGGTTCATTTGGGTAATTAGTGGGACCGTAAGTTCACCGTTGTTCCTATTGACAAGATATAAATAATGGTAAACACAAAATTGCTTGAACACTTGCACTCACTTCCTGTCTTTATTCACAGGCAGGAAAACTCGGCCGTTGGTAACTGCTTCCATAAATACCCCGAGGTAAGGGCGGGTTAGTGCCAACTTCCCCAGTGGGATAGTCGTGCCCGTCCATAGGCTGCACGGCCAGGCTCCGGTGTTGTGTGCACGGCATTGCTGCTATGACGTGAGCACAAAGTGACAGCTGTATTCAGAACACGCCACCGTGTGTTGTGAACTTACAAAGGGAACTCCATGTGGTTGTGGTGTTGATGTTCCTGTAGCATAAATCCGACTGCATGAATACAATTTGTGATAAAATATATATTTTTTTGTCGAATTCCGTGAATAATATTTTTAGTTAATTAACGATTTTTCCGACAAATATCCACATAACCTTTCTCTTTAGCGAAGAAGCGTCCTGGGCTAAGAAACACAATATCTACGACTCGTTACCGGGAGGTGGGAGGTCTCTGTGGTACCCGCCCCCGCCCAGTGACCACTCGACGGAACTACATTTTGAAAGCAAAAGAAATGAAATGCAATTGGATGCACATAAAATGTATAAATCTGCAAAGAAATATTATTTCTTATAAGATATCCTCCATATAGAACAGCACATGAAGAATTTTAGTGTTCTTTTTAAGAGAATTCCATGTTTGTTTAGGAACATCCGCCAGCCTTTACTTGCCTCATCGCCGCTTATATCCTCCAAATTCTCCTAACCATCATAAAAGGTATGCCTTTAAGATAACTAATCCAAATAATTTATGTGTAAAAATGTATGGAAATCAAATTAAGCTAAAAAAAAGTCGTAAGTGGTCTATTTGAAGAGTAATGAGAACTGCTCCATCTGGGATGGTGAATGATGTCCCTTATCAGAAATAATATCCTAACCCAATTTTCGCAATGAGCGCAATTAATAACCGCCCAGCACCACCAAAATAATTATTGCACTAGTATAAATACTTAGTAGCCTAAATTTCATATTTTCATAAGTCCAAATATGCCAGGCATGTTTCATTTGTGTATCAGTTTAACCACAATTTGTTACTAATAAAATAAATTCAGTGACAAATTCATGTTCTTTTTTTTTAATTCCCTTAGTGACTCAATGTATTGTAAGAAAGAACTACCTTTCCACTTTTTGTGCAACATTTGGAGTGGTGGTAATAATTCACTTTGCCATTGACAGTGGTGGAATCAAGTGCAGATATATTGGCTTTGTATGTCCATGATTCTAACAAAAATGAATAATGTCTTCCAAAATAAATGCAATTTAAGGTCTTATTATCTTTTCGGTCATCCAGGGAATTTTAGGATTTTAAGTTGACCAATGTTTTCCAGTTAGGGTAAGTTATGTAGGTTAGGTTAACATTTTGATGTAGAACATTGAAGTTTTAAAGGGATTATAATTTTTTTCGATGAATTTCTCAAAAAAAAAAGGGATCAAAGTTTTGGAATCACCATAAAAATCTACATTAGAAAAAATAAATAAAAATATGAGTGTGTGTTGCATAACAAACCAAACAAATCTGAGTTTCCATTGGAATTTTTTATTTTTTTTTAACAGACAAAATTACCCAGAATATGTAGGTGCTGGAAACTTATAAATATTAACCCTCATAAATAAAGATGTTTCAGAATTTGCAAATTTAACTAACACAATATTAATGACTTTATTTTCACTTACAGGTAGAGATACAGCTGACTTAACACCTTTCACCAATACTGAAGAAATAAATCTTGGTATCATGATTGATGGGGAATTTTTCCGGTTCCTGGGAAGATTTTGCTACCGAACCTAACCTCGGAATTGGTTCCCAAACTCGGAACAGAAAAATTTGGAGACTTTCTGTAAAATCCCCAAATTACTCATAGAGAGGGTTGCCATACGTCCGTATTTTCCCGGACATGTCCTCCATTTAGGTCTCGAAATCTTCATCCGGAAGGAATTTTTAAAATTTTTCAAAAGTCCGGAATTTCAGCTTCCATCATTTTCTCCACGGAAAAAAAAAAACATGAAACTGTAATGACGGGAGAGAAAGAGAGGGAAGGTGGAAACCGTAGAGATTTCTTTCAGTTTTCGTCAGCTGATAAGTCACTTGTACGCCTGTACGGTGTTGTCAACTTAGCTGTCAAATATTTGATTGATAAGGGGGTAGAAGTTGATGAAGTGTTTTGACCAAGTTAGTAACCTGAAGCAGTTTGTGGAAAATTACAAGTGATGAAGAATTTAGTAATCTGCCAACACATAAAAAGTGGACCAGATACTTTGAAAAATCAAAGAACATTGAATGCCACTCAGAATTGCTAAGAATTGCACAATTCTTCTTTGCTATATCATCTCAATGCAAATGTAGAAAGAGTTTTTTCACTGATGCAAAGTCAATGGACAAAGGAAAGGAACAAATTGAGTGTTGAAACAATGAAAGGCATTCTGACTGTACAGTACAACTTCCGAGAAACACCTTGCAGTGACTTCTATACCTTTCTAAAGAGCAATCATCCAATACTGAAAAAGATCCGATCTACAGAAAAGTATGCATGGGCACATAAGTCACACACACAGTGGGGGAAGAAGACTGCAGCTAAGGGAATGAAGATGTTCAGCCTTAAGCAAAGGTAATTTTTTTTTTTTTTTAGATTTCTATACCATGTATGTTGTATATTAGCCTGTGTGTGCCGGGCGGGGGGGAGGATGTCTTCGGGAGCGTCCTCTTTTTTGAATGTTCAGATATGGCAACCCTACTCATAGACCAGAAAAAATGCAGTTTATGAAATTTTCCAAAAATATGCATTTGGAGAAATCATAACATATGCCCTAATTAATTTTGTTTTTAAATTTTACATACATATGTACATGGATATTACGTATGAATATATTTGTGAAATTTGTGGATGATTTTTCCTTTAAAATATTGT